TGTACATCTCAGAGAAAAGCTGTCATGATGACCATTAGTTTTCTCTAACCAATTTCTTCACTTGTTATTAATATAAACAAACAAAATGATATTAAGGAAGAAGAGAGAGGGAAATCCTTATTTTGCAGTAAATTTTTCATGTGAGGTTAGGCAAATGGGGCATTAAATTGGTCAGTTCTGTAACCACAACCCCCAGATCACATGTGTATCACTGTGCGAGTGAATTTTGCATGTGTACCTTCTGCCAGGGAGTCATAGCAGTTTCTACATCAGTTTGCAGTCCTCAAAACATCTCTAAATCCAGTGCTATTTACAGCCTCACCTGTATATGTTTAGTGTTGAGCTGCTCGCTTGCAATGCTAATGCTTTTGGGAAGTGTCCTGCATTACACTTTAATTTCCTGATCATTGGTTTCTTTTAATTACTCTGAAATTTGTTTTAGAGAAGAAAGCAATGACAATCAAGAATACAGGGGATTGCATTTGAGGACTGGAAACAGAATACAGAAAGGAGCCTTTCACTTCAGAGCTGCTGGTAGGAATCCAGCTCAGCTTCAGACTTAGCAAAAATCATTACTGTGTGATGGCTTCTTGGTGCCTTGCACTCTACGTCCACAAATGAGTCAGCGTCCACATTACACAAACCACCAGAACAATTGGTGCTACTGTAATTGGGAGTCTACTGGCAGCATCAGTGGAAAGGGCAAGGACTTGAATGAGCATGGAAAATGAGCTGCTTTCTCCCTGCTCCCTCAGGTCACCTTTGAGACACATCTGTGTGAGGAAACTCAGAAGAAATTTGATCTGTGGTAGCTCCCTTCTGGAGATAGATGGAAGACTTTACTTTCCAGTACTGACAATCTGACACCCACTAACAAGCATTATATTCAAGAAAAATAAAGATCGTTATGGGATCGTTTAACGTGTGAAAGCATGAACTAAAAAAAAAATTGCTAAGTGTGATTGAAAAATCAACAATAAAATCCAAATGCTGACTTGAAATAATAGGAACAGAGCCAAACAACTATTATCAAGCATGACCACCGTTGGCAACAATTGCCTCCCTCAAAAACACAGGGAAATCCTGCTCTTTCATTAAACCATTGAACAATCTCTTCGAGTTGAACCCCTTCTAGGCAAAAATAAAGGAGTGCTTCCACTGTTCAAACATTCTCTTTGGAGATGAGAACGTGGATTGATAGAAGAGATGTTGGACTTTATTCAGCTTGAGATGATGCCTTGATGTCATGGAAATAGCAACTGGAAGAGAGCACAGGACACCATAAAGAGAGGGCTGGGACTGCCAGTGTGCATGTGAGTCAGTGGTGGAGGTTGGAAGGGACCTCTGGAGGTCGTCTGCTCCAACCTCTGAACTTGGTACTTCCACTGGGTTGTCTGCTGTGAAGTAGGGAGGCCCTCATCTTACAATTTATATGCTACCATTAGTAATCCTAAAAAAGCCTGCCTCTGGCAGGAAACTGGTCGTGTACTACCGGAGATTAATTTAGCCCCATAGTTCCTGTAAGCTTCAAACAGTTAAGCTGTGAAGATGTCTCTTAATATACTGAAATGACACAATTGCATGTGCTGATTACAGTGGTGAATGTGATATGAATTTTTGACTAAGTGAAAGTAAAAAGAATGTGTTTGATGTCAAATAAGTGCATTAGCAAATCTGAAATGTTCTGAGACAGTTTGGACTATTTGTGAATTCATGCCAAATTCAACTAAAAATAGAATAGAAACTTGAACCTCAAGTTGAAGTTTTCCACTGCAGTTCCTTGAAAACAAAACATTTAACATTTTCATGTTAAAACTTAATTGAAATAACTTTAAATTGTTTTAAGAGTGCCTCAGACCCAGAAAGTTCATTTCTCAGTATTTATTTTGGTGTGTGGGAGCGGGGAAATTCAGAGCAACCCAATACAAAAATGTACGTGTGTTTGAATGTGTGAGTGTGTACATGTGTTTGGGGGGGGGAGTTGACCGCAAAACTGAAAGAGAAATTATTTGCTCTCTAGCTGTAACCTGCCACATCTCTGCTTTTGTATTTTTGGGCTTCTCTTCAGTAGATATACCAGATTGTGTAGTGTTGTTTGTATGGAGGAGACAAGATTTAGATCATTCCCAGTTGTGTGGTAAGCAGGATTTGAAACCTAGGGCTGTGAAGGTGGAAACCAGGTGTAACTCCCTGCTCCTCAGTCTCTTATGAGATACACCTGTATCGTGAGGGGGGTGGGAAACAAGCACATCCTTTCAGGGTAAATATGGAGAAGTATTGTGGAGCACCACAAAGGTGTGAGGGATGCTTCAAAGTTTCTGGGAGCCAGGGGATAACAGCGCCCAGAACACAGATTTCAGAGTTTAAAAAAAAAAAAAATTGCGAGAGGATTTCAGCATCCTGTATGACACCACCGGTTTCTTTTAGTGAAGAGTATGTGGTGCATATTTTTCCCTTTTCTATGACCAGTGCTGAATTCCTCAGGGGACTGGTGATTCTGCAGATAGGGTGCTGCAGAAAGCTCGGTCCCTCGGGCAGTGCCTGGCCCTACCCTCCACAGGCAAGGCGGAGAGGGGCCCGAGGGGCTTGTTGTTAAGCAAGGAAAAATCTGCACGGAGGCTTTCCGCGTTCGATCAGCCAAAGCAAGATGCTGAATTCAGCAGAGGTTGAATTTATAAGAACAGCAGCAGGAGGTGGGATGAGGGGTTTAAATGGCGAAAAAGCTTTTAATAGCAGTCTTTGTATTATAATAAAAGTGTTTGTTTCAGCGTCTCTGCCAGCCAGTGTAAGCAATATAAGTTTATGAGTGGCTGATATTTTGTGTAATAGAAATGCATTTGTCTGTCGTGAGTGCCTGTTACTTGGCAAGCAGATGACTGGTCATATTATTACGCAGACTGTTGTTTCCACGGGCAAAGAGGGATATGCATCCTTCTTAATGTGAAGAAAAACCTTTAAAGGCCTAAACCATAATGTGTAACAACACAAAGCAGTATGTGTGAAAGCAATGCATAAACCCCATTGACTAAACTAGTACAGGATAAGATCACTATTGAGAAATATGGAATTATTTTTGAAAAAGAGCCTTCCAAGGTAAGTCAGAGGCCAGAAAATGAACTGCTTTTGTAAATTTCCTGCAATACCATACAGCTAACAAGGTTACACATGAATGAAACCATGATGTATGATTTGGCTTCTTATGCATTAAAAATCCTTTAGAACTATAACTGCAGTGTTCATTCCCAAATGATTTTACTTTATGTATTTATTTAGAGAAAGCTAAAACAGTTTGCGATTTATGTGTATTCAAAAGCTGCATATTTCCGAGACGATAAAGGAAACCTGAAAAAGAAATTACTTTCAGAACTCAAATAATAATATTTTAAAATGCCTAAGAAAATGCATTAAAAATGAAATAGATGTAAAAAAGATAAAATCTCAGTTGTTGGTTTTTTGCTACTTGATCATAACAAGTGATTGTGATGCACACATAAAACTGGATAGCATAGATTTTTGGTCATCATGTGTATTTCATTTTATGTTGTGCATTTGCCCGAACAGTTGCTTTGCACATTGTGAATTCTCTTGTGTGTCAATGTTTTGAAACACTTAAAACTGGAGATCGTATAAAATATAGCTGTTTACAACATTCTAAATTTGTGCATAAACTCTCACACAGATTTTGGGTTTGTGTACGCATACACAAAATCTTAATTTTGTATTTCTCTAAGTTAAGTATTTAAGTATTTATGATAACATGATGAGACCTAGAATGTTTCATTAAACTTCAAAACTATATAAATAATACTTGAATATAGGAATTGGGTAGCACACCCTTAAGTATTTGTGAACTTCCACGTTTTTTCAAGCACCCACATCTTTCTAAGCATGGTCATTATGAAAGTCCAAGTTATATATAGCAGTGGTGCTGCTCAGGCTATGTTCTTAATAAGCAACTCTAGAAAGTGTGCAAGCTATTAAAGGAATACTATTCCATACCTTTATACCTCAGAAATATTAAAGGAATGTGATTTTTGTTGAAATTACCACTCTTAAATAATGCCATTGTATTAATTTCTCTGACCTTTTAACAGAAAAAAATAATCACTGAAGGGGATTCTAGGAAAACCAATTGTCTGAGGATAAAATTCACTCAAAAGTGCTGTTATTTTGCAAACATTGCTATTTAAAGTACCTTTAATGTAATGGTTTTCAGCACATCCACTCTGTGATGACTGCTGTCAAGTAAACCTTTATGTCACCCTGCTCAGCAAAACCTTTGTACTACCTTTGAAGCAATGTGCTGTTAATTGCTTTCTTCATAGGCGGCTGGATGGAAGAGACTATGTAAATAAGGGTTTCACATTAGTGAGCAGAGATAATTAGAGATGCCTGACTTTTTTAAGGGGAAGAGGTCAAATTTTCTTGAGTTAGGTAGAATGTGGACTTTGGACTAGGATTTCCTGTGTCTTATGTGCAGCCTGTCCATTCCTGATACTGGCTTATTCTCAGGCACTATTTTCCTGTGTCCCTTGTAGCTGTGCAACTGTCTGTATAGTCTTGCCTAGGCAGAGCAGAAGTCTGCGAGTGACTCCCTGTCCTGTGGGCAAGATGTCAGAGGAGTGGTCAGTGAAAGAAGGAATGATGTGGTTCAACCAAAAGCTTTTTTCCATTGTGCCACTAACCCCCCAAAGCCCCCAGTGCCCCCACAGCCCTGCTGGGAAAATATGATCAGAAGTTAAAGGTTGCCATCTAATGGTGAACATATATAATACAGTCTTCATGTTTTTTCTTAAATTATCTTTTCTTACCTTTCTCTATGTACCTGCAAGTCCTTTCTTTGTAAGACACTAGAGGAATGAGACTGATGTTTTATTCAGATTTTACCTGGGGTGATATCTGCTAGTTCATCAGTAAGAAGATGTTGCAACTGAATGTGAAATTCCAGCCATTCAGTTTAACAGAGTTCTAATTTCTTAATGCTTTTTCTATGAATTCAGATATAGATGAATGTTCCTTCGAAAGGACCTGTGATCACACCTGCATCAACTACCCTGGAAGCTTTGAATGTCTCTGCCATAAAGGCTACACCTTGTACGGACTGACGCACTGTGGAGGTTTGGAAGCTGAGTTTTGCTTATCTGTTTGCTTGGTTGCTTTGTGAACTGTTTACTGAGACACACATTTTTTAGCTGAAGATTTTAGAACTGAAGAAGATAAACCAATAAAGTTAAAGCTAAAATAAAGCTAAAATAGCGTGAGCTGGGTGTGACTAAAATTTCAGCATCTCAAATTTGTTAAAGCATTTCCAGGAGAAGACCATAAATAAAAAACAATGGCCACCCATGTTTGTGATGGTGGTACATAGCAGCCTCAGTATAGACCAGAAGCCTGCAGTGGTGACACTTGCATCCACTGCTGCATGGATGCAGCCGTTCTTCCACAACCATCATAAAGCAGCCTCATGGCTGGGGTTCATCGCACTGTACAGGGTAAGCTTCCTTACAGAGTTTACAAGCGCAGAGTACCAGTCGGTACTTCCACAGGAGTGAGGTTAGCCACAATTGTATTTACAGAAGGAAGGCTTCAAATCATGGGCAACAAAGAGAATAGGAGAAGGAGGTCAGTTTTACAAAGTTTAGAGATTTTGGCTCTGTTGGTATTTGTCCTTACCAGACTGTGACATAGCCTGTGAAACTCATAACGGAAGGCTGTGGGTACCTTGTTCCCATCCTCTGTGGAGCTACTTCAGCTCTTCAAACCTTTTAGGCATAACTGGAAAGAATTGGTGTTGTAATGTTTGGTTATCCAGGAGAAGGGATATTTTTTAAGTGCATTATAGGGCAGTATTACCACAATGACCAGATTAGAGGTTCAACTTCTACTTGATCAAGGCAGGAGAATTTCAGAGCACTCAAATTAAGTCCAATGTTTGCCAGGGATGTCCCAGTTCAAGACTGCCTGCCACCAGCCTGGTTAACACCCCCAGGTATTGCTGTGGTCTCTGCCTGAACATTTAATAAGTGGGGTAGGTTTTGATTGTGTTCAGAACACTGGTCAAAGGAGAGCAAAGGGGTTTTTTGAGGGATGTGTTAAGTGTATTAAGTCCAAATTATGCTTTTAACCAATCAGGTCAGCATTACACAAACAAAAGTGACAAGAGAAAATCACAATAAAACCTGAAAGCCCTGAATCTAAATTACTTGTAAGAAAATACTGACACAAAAGAAACTCTCCATGCTCTTTTTAAATGTAAAACTAAATAGTTTTGTTTAGTTAAAAGATGGTTAATACTTAATTATTTAATTATTCGAATAATTCAAGATACAAACTAAGTAAAGCTTGCATCAAACTATAAACAAAGCCCTGACTTTAAACCCACAAAAGCCATGTGTTCAGGCCAGGTTCTGATCTAAGTCAGACCTAGTGCAGCGAAAGTATGTTAGAGAAATTGCTGAGAACAGTGTTGGGCCCTAACGGCTCTTAATTTGTGGAACAGGCATTATGGTACATATTATATGCAAGAGTTGTCCTGTATGTATTCCTAAGTAAATCATGCTACAGACTGAGTTAAAAAGATATGGTTAAAAGCTCACGTTGTTTCCGTTCCCATGTGATTTGGTTTGTGCCATGCAAACTGATGTAGCAGAAACAGATGCTAGCCCCTCACTTGTCTGAGTGCTGAGTTCACCTCATTTGGTAGGGTTAACGTGAGACACTACTAATGATATCTCTGCCTGGCTTCTCTTTGGGAGAAGAGTGTAGGAGGCATATGTTAGTATCTCTTGTATAGAGCAGGACAAGTAACAAATTAATTCACTGTATAGTAGAAGCAGGCAGGAAGAGAAATAGGAGTCCATCTAAGGAAAGAGTTTGGAACAAGACTCCACTTGAGGGCAGTTCTGAAAGCAAATCAGAGTCTGAAATTTTGGCTACCTGTGTAGGGTGTGGAGAGGCCGATCTTCAGTTTCACTGTTAATTCCGTAATGACTTTATTAATTTAGGGAAAGCCTCAAAGTTTGGGGTTCAGCCTCAATCTTTAAATAATCTTCACCTCAGTTCAGTTTCAGTCTTTTGAATAAGACTGAAGTAAAACCAAAACTCTAACTGGAAATACTCAGTGCTGAACTTCGGGCAAAAACATGACCAGATCCAAAGCTCCTGCTTTTTTCCATAATGGGCAGATCCAAAATCCCAGCTCTGAATCCAGACTTGTCCAGGTCCTGAGCTTCGCCACTCAGGCCTATCATTAGTTTTAGTCAGCCCCTGGAGAGTGATGTTTACAGTGGAACAAATAACTCACCCTGGCTGTCATCCATGTGGCACTGAGCAGAAGTCAAAACTAGGGAGAAATAACGAGAACCTTCAAAAAGATTTGGTGCAAGCTTGCCTCTTAATAAGCTTTCTGTCCATCTTGCTTCCCCTCGATTAGTAATTAATGAACTACGTGGCAATGTCCTTGTTCTGGGCCTTCCATGCTGAGGGGCAACCCTTGTTGCTTTCTCTGGGATCCTTTTCGTGACATCTCTTGTAACAAAAGTCGTGTATCGTAAGGGAATCTTTTAGAAGGACAGTGCTAGCACTTACACCACCTGTTTATGTAAAGCCCTACTTGCAGTATATATTGGCTCATTAAGTGACCTTAGGAGAGTCAGTAGAATCTGCAGGACTGTTCAATGCCTTTGGGAATTTGGATGCTTCTTCAGGAGCTTGGTTCTGGGCTGAGGTACTTGACAGCAAGGGCTCGTGTTTGAACAGTTCGGCCAGAGCTCAGTGGCAGGAACACTGTGGATTAAATGTGTGTTTTGAAGTATGGGTTAGCAAGCAGATCCCCCTGTTGCACTCAGCAGAAGCCTGGCTACTATGTACAAAATTCCCCAGAAAAAGTTTTTTCTGGGACTATCTCCCTCATCAGTTTTTGGAACTGCTGACCCAGGACTTCCAGAAGTCCTGACTCTGACTCAAAAATCGTAGTATTTTCTAGAAACATGCCTCTTCTATTAGGGTGTCTTTCTCAGTTTCTTTTATGCATGTGCTCCATGTTTTCTAGATTTTTGCTTAACCACACAGGCATCAGAAAAAGAAAGCCACTTCTGGATTCCAGCAGCTGCCCCAGTAAATACTCTCATGTTCCCATCAAGTGCCCCAAGATGCCAGCGGAAGACTTGGCTAGCCCTGCATTTCTTATTCAGTGCAGGGCCTAAGTGTGTTCTTGAGCCCAATCCCTCATCAGCCCCACCTGTACCTCACCCTCAGGCTTCAGATGGGGTTGCTGGGCTCCAAATCTGGTGCCTGGAGAGAACTGGCTTGAACTCAGACTGTGTTCCTGCAAACCGTACGGATCCACACAGTGCCAAGCACACAGCAATCGGTGTTCAAACCTGGGCTCAGGCGTGGTTTGAAAGGCAATTAGACACTCAGCCTGTGAGCCTTTATGGCCAGACCTTCCTTAGAAACACATTAAGTGACAATATTCCTTCTATGTTTTGTTAGTTACATTTTGAGGCCTATCATTAAGCCAGAGTATTAGCAATTCAGTATATCTCATGTTGATTTGGTGTCATTCTAGCTCATTTGAGCGTATGTCAAATAGCACAACGTACGTGCCTTGTGAAAGTCTATCACAGTAACGCTACCGTTTTAGCAAGCAGATGGGTAGCTGTGTTCAAAGAGCAGAAACCACTTGTTGTTGAGGTTAGTGCAGTACCTAAAATAACGGGGCTGTGGTCCATAACAAGGGCTTTTAGGTTATGGCTATACTAGTAAATCAAAGAGTCTGGAGCAGCAGTGCGCAACTGCTGGTTCATTGGTGCCGTATCACAATTTTGGCCTGTGCCATCTAGTGTCCCAAATGTGCCTGAGCGTGATCCAGAGGTGAGTACGTGGCAGCACAACTCCTGTTGAGCATGATGGATAAACATCCTTTCTGGTGGTGGGAGGAGAGGCGATGAGAGATCAGCCACGTCAGCACAAGTATAGAAATCCTGATTGCATAGACTAAAAGGTTATACTTCATATTGACTAAATACTTTTCTAATGTATTTAAAGTTGAAAGATTTTATGTGGAATATCAGTGATAAATACCCGGTAATTGCTTTGCCTTCTTGCAAGCTCTTACCTTTAATTTTTATTTGAGGAGTAGAAGACTAAATAAACTACATTTCAGCTGCTAGGTTCCTATCAAATATATAGTTTCCTCCATCTGAATCATTTCTAAAAGCAAACTCTGTGAATCACTGTGGAGGATTTATCTCCCTGTTATGCAAAAGTGATCGAATCTCACAGATGTTTATGCCTTTGACATTTTTCCATATAATGCAATATACTTTATTGTCCAGATGCTGCAGAGACTTTCGAGCATGTTTTGTATCTTGTGAGTACTTCCAAGAATTTCAGTGTAACTAGTCTTGGCAAGTAAATTGTATCATATGCATAAATCTCTGCAAGAGTAGGAGCTAAGTATGTGTCTAAGGACAAATACATTCAATGTACATAAAATTGTTTGACATGAGTATTGCCTGCATTTATACGTGTTTATATAGACTGAAATATAAAAGATGCAGTAGAAAACAGATATCCTTATGCACATAATATCTTAATGCACAGTATGCATATGCACATATGGTTAATACTATTCTCAACTTTAATTACATTTCAGATATTGATGAATGCAGCATCAGCAATGGTAGCTGTGACTATGGGTGTCTTAATACAATGGGGAGCTATGAGTGTGTCTGTCCACCTGGAAAGAAACTGCACTGGAATAAAAAGGACTGCGTTGGTAAGTGTGGGAGACTGACTCAGAGGTGACGGTGGTGATGATCCTGTTCCACAGGAGGGTGGAGAAGCCCGTGGTTTTGTCTGAGGGATGCTGCATTTTCACAATACAGATCCCCAAATTCATTTTAGCCTTTAATACCTGGCCGTCCATGGACTAGGATGTAACTACAGGTGGATTAGAGAGTGGGCAATATGTCGGATTTTATTTGTGTTGATTTTTTTTTTTTTTTCATTTTATGAGTCTCTTCACACAAATCTAAGTCTTCCTACATTATTATTTTATTTATTTTATAGTTTTCTCCTTTTCTTTTTTTTGTCCTTTGATATCCATCTCTATGACCTCAGATATAACTCTGTTTCCCTCTAAGAGTCATTTAGAATATGCAAAATATTTAACTGTTTACAAATAGCACATGGTATTCAGGTTATTATCTACATTTATAGCACCATACCCCAATTTTTCAAGTTATCACCAAAGGTATCCTGTTTAATATAAAGCACTGACAGTAGCTGTGTCAAAAGTATTAATTGCAATGAGCACAAATCCTGAGACCACTAAAATGATGGCACTTGCTGCTAGTGCCACTTACTTTGTGGCAAATCTGAGTATCTGTTCCAGTCACCACTCTTGTATATTCTTTAAGTAGATTACTTTTTTTTTCCTGGGGTCTAATTTGAAGCACAGCAGATCTTGGCCATGGGTACAGCCATTCAAAGTATTTTCTGTGAGATTTTAATTCCGTTTTCATGGTTTTTAATGGGAATAGCATACCTTAAGTCTTGTATAGTCAAATTTAGGTTGTGGGGTTTTGTGTGTTGGGTTTTGTTTGTTTGATTCTTATAGATACATTTGGTGCTGATGCCTAATACCAAACTGGGAGCAAAACAGAACAATAAAGGGAGACATCACTTAAAGGAATTTCTGCACATATTGAGGGAAAGCACTGTAGTCTGGAGCAGAGAGCAGTGCACCGGCCTCTTGCATGATCACGCAATTACGGCATTTTTCCACTTACATGGATACAGCAGTATGAAAAGCACTTTATAGTCAAGATGGGGAAAGGGGGGTGTCAAGTTGGGTTTCAGCCTTTGCCACTGACTGTCATCTTAACCACAATTAAGTACCTCATTTTTCCCACTTAGCTTTACATAAATTGCCTTCACTGCTATATAGAGAACAAGTACTATGGGAGTTAGAAATGGTTAACTCTGTTTTTTCAGTTATCCACTAGGTCTCCCTTGCAATGTACCAGTTAGTCTTCTGGAAAGGAATCTGTAAATTAACAGCAGGGACTAAAATTTTTTGAGGTTTGGTATGTAGTTAGACCACAGAAGTTTTGTGCTATATTCCCTCTCAACCTACTAAGAATGCAGTTCCCGTGGTAAGAGACTGTATTGAGAATATTTTCCTAGTTGTAAATTTCTCTTCATTATTTGTAATACTCAGTTGGAAGATGGAAAATAGAACACCCTTCTCTGTTGATATACACTGTTTTATTTGATGAATTTAATGAGGCTTAAAATGAGTGTCATCTCCCTGCTGATCGCCTGCCTTTATTACCAACATTGTTTAGAGGAAACTGCGTTCTACGTTGTTACAAAAGCACAATAAAAAGGAGGAGAATGGTATCTAATGATCCTGAATGCCACATGATTTGGAGACACTTGCAGTAACAAAATCCACTTTTGCTCAGCAATGACACTTTGCGCTTGTGTTGTCTCCTCAGTCCAAAGAAATAATTTCTTTGTAAACATCACCAAAGTAACATAAAAGGCCTTAGGAGGGAGGTAAGTGGAGGATGATGCAAACATCAGGCGTGTTTAAGGGACTTCTATATTTTATATTTGACCACTAGTGAGGCCAGGAATACAACCCAGCTGGCAGCTGCTGGGTCCCTTCCTCTGCACTCAAGCCAAGCCAGGCAAGGCTCGTTCCAGCTACCACATCTGAATTGGTCTGTTTCATCCCGGCTTCACTGGGGTCTTCCCAAACCCTGGTGGACCCAAACCAGTCTGGCTGCTTCCTACTGGACTCAGATGCTGCAGCTCTGATCTCCCCCCTACCTTGGTGTGGTTCAGTGGTGAGCTGAGGGGTAGGAAAAACGACATTTGCAGTAGTACAGTCAGCCATGAGCAAAACAAGAGTCAGCCAAGTCCATCTTGTAAGGTGAGTATGTTTGGAAGAAAGAGCAAGGAACAATCGGAGAAGAAGCATATGTACCTGAACGGGTGTTTTTATGGGGCTGAAGCAAGAACTGCTCTACAGATACCTGGCTCAAATTTAACCAGCTGATGCAGTGTGAACTATCTGCTTGAAGAGGCGCCCAGCTGCACTTGGCCAGCAGTCAGTGCAGAGGTTAAATCTCTGGGGGAAAGGAGGAAAGCGGTGAGGCTGCCTCAGTGCAGGTAGTGATGGCACCTGCCGGCTGCAGCCGAAGAATGAACCTTGTCGTTTGCGCGGAGAAAGATGTACTTAAGTAACGCTTCAGTCCCAAAAGATGTCCAATTAAAATAAATGCAGGATTATTATTATCAGTGGCATACCATCATCTCGGGGTGAAGCAGAGACTGGTCGACAATTCGTAACTTTATGTAGTTTCAGCTAAAACACAAACCGTCCCTTACCCAAATACAAAGAGCAGCCTGTGAGACCTGCAGGATACTCTGTCTTCATCCTGCCATGAAGCCCAGAGGAGAAGCTGGGTATTTCCATTGCATGAGCTGCAACGTGACTTGTGCAGTGGGCGCTGATGAGAAATGGCTGATGTCTATGTGTGTCACACTGTCCCTTCTAGCGTTGCTTGGGGCATTTCGACAGTGGCTGAGAGGGCCAGTGGGACTATCCATCTCCATCCCAGCATGTCCTGCCTCATCTCTGCCTGGCTGGGAAGTTTTCTACTTCCAGAAGCTTGAGCAGAGCATGGAGCTGAAATTAAAAGGTCTGCAAGAGTTGGAGTGAGAAGTGGAAAATACCATTTTAGTGGGCATCTAAATAAACACATCTTTGTGAGGGTGACTCCTGTGTGTAGTGTTGTGCTTGGCCTGTTAAACCAGAGACCTGTGCCTCCAAAAGGCGGGGGAGGACATCTCAGGTCATTAGTATTACCTGATCAAGTTGTGCACGCAGAATTGTGCTCATAATTAGAGAGACACTTGCCTTTCAGAGTGCAGATCTGGACCTGAACAGTCCCACAGTGGAGGATAGGAGGGAAAGACTGATGTAGAGTTTAGGGCTAAAAATGTGAAGGAGTTTCCTTTCCAAGTCCAAGCTCAAGATCCAGATATTCTCCACCTATTATGTGCTTATTTCAGAAATGCCTGGGCCTGTGATTTTGCTTTGTTGCCACTTCTACCTTTCCTCACCGCTGTAAGCAAATGGATGCACAACATTTTAGGTTGAGCAGTGCCTGATTTTTTTCATTTTTCTTTTTTTTTTTTTTTCCTCCTCAGAGATGGTGAAATGTCTCCCAAATGCCAAACCAGCTCCCAAGGCTCAGCTAGTGTGTAGTAAGACAGGAGGCATAGAGAGCTGCTTCCTGTCATGCCCATCCAATACTCTTTTTGTTCCAGGTTTGTACAAAATATTTGTCCTCCTAAGTCTAGAATGTGACTTGATGATTTTTTCTCTGCTAATGTATTCATGACTCTTGCATTCAGTTTTTGTTATGGGCAACTGTAAATGAGCAAAAATCATTATAAATTAAATTGGGGCAACATGCACATCATTAAATACAAGAAGAGCTGACTGTCAGTTACATTAGAGGTTTGGCCCTTAGTTGTTTATTTTGAGATGTCATTTTGGGGGGAAAAATCTTAACAAAAATCTAAGACATACAACTACCTTAACCAGATGGTGCAAAAGAAAAATTTTAATATATTAAATTGCTATTTCAAAAGTGGGGGGAAAACTGAACAGTTGATTTCAGTGAATTCCTGCTAATTTTTAGTAATATGTTTTTCAATGTGAGTAGAGTCCCCTGTGCTCATCCAGGCGTCTGCTTAAAATGATGGACTGGATCACGGCCTGAAATACCCTGTAATTGTGTAATTGAGCAGGAGCAGAAATTACTCCCAAAGCAGAGGGTTCCCCTGAGAGGAACTCAGCTTCGGGAGCACAGCGGGAGGCAGGGGAGGAGGAGAGGGACATGCTGGGCAATTTAACACTGCGGCTGCCACAGCACATGATCAAGCTCCCACACCAGCCAGGGTAACACAAAACTTCCATCAGCTCAGCCAGTGGAGCAAAGGATGACATAGCAACAGCTGTAAACCTGTCTTACTGTCTCATACAAAATGGATACAACTAAATCTGCCTCAGGAGGCTGTATGGAAAAAACATCTCTCTGTATTAGTTGCTGGCAGTTTCTGGTTTTTAATAAATTTTATTGGTAATAGTTCAGCTGAGTGTTATTTGTATAAACTCAGGCATTGTTGTTTATAGAAAATCAGGCGTCTCATCATCCCCCCCCCTTTTTTTTTATCATTTGATACAGATGATTTTCACCTACACAGTTTTGTAGGGCAGGTGGGGCAGGGGGTTGCTATTACTTTTTCATATATGTTCTGGTTCTGACACAGGATTATTTTCCACAAGGGTGTCTACTTTTCATGTTAGTCCTGGCATTATATGCGGTAGAGCTGTTCACGCTTTATTTTCAGTTTAGCAGAGATTACTGGAACCATGCATTTATCTAATTTGTATGCACCAATGCACAATTTTATCTGTGCAGTATGTAAACCCTGTTACGGTTTGAAGTATGTTATTTTTTTGTTTCTGCCAATAAATTCTGCCAGAGTCTGAAGCTAAAATTATTATTAAAGTACGTGGTTTATTTTTTAAATTATAGAGAAGATCAAAGCACAAGGACTCTGCCATGGACAAGCACAAAATATTTTATACTTGTGCGCCATGGAATTATTTACAGCTAACCTCATGCCAAATTGTTCATAAAATGTAACATTTCAGTGCTGGAAGAAGCAAAACTTGTAGTCAACACTGTGAAGCAGAAGCCTTTGGCAAACTATTTCAGCCATTTAAATCTAAGTTCAGCACTTAAAATGTCTCCTTGTTTAGCAGTATTAATGAGTTTGTTCAAGCACCGAATATTAATGCTGGGCGTGACGAGGGGAGCAGATGCTTTGTGAGGCTGTTGCCACACGTGCTGACTTTGCATTCTGCCCAGCAGATTCGGAGAACAGCTACACGCTGAGCTGTGGTGTTCCCGTCCAGCAAGGCAAGGCTCAGCAGAAACGCAACACGACCCTGCCCAGCTGCGCAGGTAGGTGCTCTCCTGCTCGCCCGGGCCTTGGCATCTAGGAGGTAGGTGATGAGGTCCCCCAGACCATCTGGGAGTTGCAAGACATACAGCTTTCAAGTTACACAAGGCCAGAATTAAGGTAGCTTGCGTTTCATCATGCACACACACTCGCTTTTCTACAGCCTCTCCTTGAGGGCTGGAGTGTGCTTAGTTGCCCTCCAGTGTGGCGTTGCGTTGGTGGGTCAGTATAGGAGCGGTGGAGGTTTGAGATATATTCAGTAAGGACAAATATTTAGAAAACTTTATTTTCCATAGTCCAGCAAGGCAATAGTGAGCATATCAAAATGGTATTTCTTCCCAGACTTGGAAGTGAGCCAGAGGGACCCATCAGTAGCACAAGAGCACAAGGCTACGGTGCGTCCCAGCCCTCACCTGCAAAGTCCTTCCTGAGAGCACAGATCCTCCTACTGGGGATTCCCAATAAAAAGGCTGTGAGACTTTTATGAGCACATACTGTGTTTCATTTATCTTGTTCTCAGAAACAGCTGGATTATTTTCGCAGAGACATTTCAAAATGCGTCCTAAAGCTGATACTCAGCATAAAAAAAGGTTCAGCTCAAAATGGTTGAAGTCTGGCAAAATTAGAAGCAGTTTAAACAGCATCCAGCAGTGGGAAGTTTCAGCCCACTTTACGTATCATTACCTGCTGTACGTCTCTCCAATTTGCCGGTTCTCTAACCACGTTTTTCTTACATATTTGGAATGTGTTTGGAGGTACGATGCTGTGGAGTGAGGTAACACAGCAGCAGATGTGGCTGCCTGAGGCACAGGGGCAGGCTACCTCTAAAGTCCTGGTTCGGCAAGGGCTTCCCAGGGAAAGGGGGACATTGTGGCATTTATCTGTGACTACCCTCTGCCTGCTCCGGGTCCCATGAGCAGCCCACAGCGGCTGGCAGGTGACGGCCCAGGCACAGCCTTTTCCACCATGGACTTTGTAAGGAAGTCAGCCAGCAGCTACATTTTCTAAGCATTGCATGGCTGTATAACAGCCTTTAAAGTCATAAGACGTAACTGGCTTGGATTTAAAGCTGAAGAATAAAGCTCGCAAGCCATAGACCGCAGTCAAATAAAGACGTTTCCTTTGGATGGTTTTCAACTGCCAACAGCATAGCTCCACTAAATTAATCTTGGTTGGCATTAGCAAGAGCAGAACTACAGCCAAGTAACATGGGAAGTCACAGACAGAGTCAGAAAAAAAAGGTAGGAATTAACCTTTTTCATAGTAAGAGACAGATTCACCCAAATTCTACCAAAATGTGCAGGCGTGCTGGAGGGGAAGCGTATGTGCAGAGCATGTGTGATACTAGCAAATTCATTGATCTTTATGGGCTCAAGAGCAAGTGCTTACGTGAAAAAATGAACTTCTATACCTTGTACAAGAGGATCCATTTCCATAACTCTTGGGCTGTCTCTTTTCTATGTCGCAAGAAGACTTTTGAGTCTGTTTTTAAAAATAAGTTTCAGACTTCATTTCATCTCCATCCCAAATGATAGCTTATTTACTTTACATCAACAGATTCATTAGCCCCTCCAATCAAGCAGAAAGCTCGTTTTAAAATTAAAGACGCAAAGTGCCATTTACGGCCTCGCAGCAAAGAAAAAACGAAAGATTCTGGGAAGCAAGCTGGTTTAGGTATGTGGTTTCTTCTAACATGTAAACAGCATTCTAATTTTTTGTTTGCTTGCTTGCTTGTTTGCATATATTGTTTTCACACTGCAGATGGAAAAAAAAGTAATAGTTTTCATGTTTGGATCCAAATTTAAGTTCAGGCCAAGGTTCACACTCTAGCTGAACAGTGCCTTGGGTTTGGATCTGACAGTGCTGAAATGTCACCAGTTGCTTTGAAAAATCTTTGCTCAAAAGTACATAAGTTTGAAATTAAGCTGATCCTTTTTCTGGCATTGGTAATGGCAGAAATATCCTGAGACAAAAAGCTATGATCAATGCAAAGTTACATGAAACAATGTCAGTTTGGTTTGGTTTAGTTTTCCCAAATGAGGTTTATAAAAGAAAACAAAAGCTATTATTTATTTGCTTTATGCTGGATTAGTATCCTATTGCAGCGGCAAAGACAACCCCTAAGCAGGAAAGTTATAATCAAAATCTGATGTTACACAGTCTTAGATCTTTTGTTATGTTGGAGTGAGTAGTTATGATGTTAGAAAAAATATTTAGAAGATTTAGACATAATTACCAAAAATCTGAAATCAAAAAAAGCTTGTGTCAGGCTGAATCAAAGTAATCAAATGTTTTTAAAACTCAGTATGACTAGTTATGGGATTTTATTATTATTAGTTTTGAACATCACTTTTAACGTTAAACAAAAAAGAGATTTTAAAAGTGATATGTATTTAACAGATCTTCATGACATTTATTTCTTGTCCTCCATCCCCTTGGTATCATGACAGGGACAATTAAAGAGTGTGTGGGTGTTACTGCTGTGCATTTCCACAGCTTAAAATATTTGGAGTTCATTTAAATTTAATATTAACTCAAAATTTTCCAGATTTTCATACACACTATTGGTGTAATTGCAACAGTTCATGTTGTTGCTTAAAGCAACTTAGCAGCTTACAGCAAACGTCTACTGGTGATATATTCTCTGTTGTGAATCTGTCTTACAACCACTTTTACTAGTGAGTGAGGAGTCATATATGAGCCCTGAACAGAGAAGAATAAAAATAGCTATCCTAAAAAAATGCTAATGGTTTAAATATTTTATTTTTAAAATTTAGACTTATATTTTATCTTTAGCCTGCAATCTAGGCATTTATCTCTTAATTTTCCAAGTATTGGCAACAAGTAGTCTCAGTTGTCAAAATGCTTACCTTGTCCTTATGTATTGTCTTCTTTTAATAAGATGTGATTATCAGACTCATTTTTAAAGTCATAGAAGTTGGGTTTTTTGGTCCATACAGTCACCATGAGAATGTATTTCTCGGATGCATTTCCTTGTCCTTTGCTTGCTTTGCTTTGTGTTTGTTATGTCATCTGAACTTCTGGGTCTAACAGTAAGATTATATCGTACAACCACACACTTGGAATGAAATCCTTCTGGTGGCCTGTGGGCTAGAAATTTCTCCCTGACCTGGAAAGTCCATCGCCTATCACAAAAAGGATGTTTTTCACATAGATTTCTTTATATAGGGAGAGGATGCTTATGTGATTGTGTCCCAACGGATGTGGCCTTTCTCCTCAGTGGTTACACATAATTGACGAGGGCATTCAGTTCCTCTGGCTTGTGACAGGACAAGAGGAAATGGCCTCAAGTTGTGCCAGGGGAGGTTTAGATGGGATACTAGGAAAAATTTCTTCACTGAAAGGGTTGTCAAGCCTTGGAACAGGCTGCCCAGGGAAGTGGTTGAGTCACCATCCCTGGAAGTATTTAAGAGACATGTAGACATGGTGCTTAGGGACATGGTTTAGTGGTAGAATTGGTAGTGTTAGGTTAACAGTTGGACTCGATGATCTTAAGGGTCTTTTCCAACCTAAATGATTCTATGATTCTATGATTTCCCCTCACATAAAGCCTTCCAATATATTTTCATAACGTCCCAATCAAAGGCTTTTAAAACCTCTGATATCTGGTGACTGTCATTGCTGAAAGAGATGGAATACCAGCTGGTAGTTTCTAGAGGCCCATGCTGCTATGCTTTAGTCCCAGGCCTGCCGCTCTCATGAGTTTATGAAAATAGACTCTCTTGCTTTGTTTAACCCTCAAATGACTGTATATAGTATTGCTAATCTTAACTAATTGCTGTAAAGAGCTTTCTAATCCTTACACAGAAAAGAGACAGGAAATTATAGGCATTAGAGGTGCCACTGTGCAGCTTAGCATCACCACACTGTATTTTTGCCTCCTGCATTCGCTAGCAAGATGAGCAAACCCAAAATTGCACAGAAAAGGAGGTGTCTAACAATGCATGTGAAATGTTATGATGCCTGTCACTGCATTCATGATAACCCAGCTGAGATATCGCTTATTAGCCTGTCACTTGCTACTTTGCTACTTGATTTCTTTTCTATGTTGCTTCTCTTATGCAAAGGAGGTCAATTCCCTTGTACAGACAACTGCCAGGTGACCTTTGTGAATCTCAAGTGCGATTCCTCCAAGAAAAAACGTCGAGGCCGCAAGTCGCCATCAAAAGAAGTGTCCCATATCACCACAGAGTTTGAAGTGGAGATGAAGTCAGAAGAAGTCTCAGGTTTGTGAAAGATCTGTCTACGGAGAGAAATCAGAATTCAGTTCCTCAGTGTGTTGTTAAAATCTCTTTGATGCTATTTCATGAAGCTGCCATGCAAACCTTTTAGCACAAGCCTCATTCAACAGCCTTTTCAAACGCAAAGTTTCAGAGATTTAATTGAAAGGAATCAGGTATGAAATTAAGCCAAAGGAACAAAGATTGAACCTGCAGCAGAATTCCTTCAAAGCCTCAAGTTAAGTCATGTACTTTAATTTAGTCTGATTTCTTTAAACAGCAGAAGTGCTAATTGATGCACAGAGAATGTAAGGATTAGATAGAAGTTCTGCAACAACGACAATAAAAATATCCTCTAAAATGTAAGTTGCTGAAACTTCAGTCTGAGAATCAAACATTTTTATCACACATTTGGTAAATTCATGTTTTCATAACAAACTTCAGGAAAAAGAAGAATTGCTTCAAGTTATTCATGAGATGGAATATTATGCTATAAAATCCAGCCAAAGAAAATGTGGGCTGAATTCTATAAACATGTCAGTCCTCAAAGGCAGGTTTCTTAACCCATAGGGGTACCTCACTAGCCAAGTAATTCAAACCATAATCGTGGCAGAAAGCACCTTTCTTTGTGTCACTCGTATTTTGGTCAGGAAAGTGGGGAGAATTCCTAATCAACTGAGTAAAGCATGGGCAGAGGAAATTCAGAAACATTCGTAGTGGCAGACTGAACACATATCTGGAAATACAGCACAGTGGGAAATTCACCATTCCTCTAGCAGTGCACAAAGCACCAGTCACTGCTACTCTCTACAACAGAGTACAGCATTCTTGCACAGCGCCAACTTGATTTTGCTGGCTAGATCGATGCTTTCTGCAGCCCTCTCCCTGTGCACTCAGTATAACCAGATTTCTTAATGTTAGAGATACCAGCACTCCATGTGCACTTACAGGCTGTGAAACTCAGTTTGATGGACCTCAGTGTACTGGCTTCTCCCTTTAAAAGACCTGATTTTGAATACAGTGAGCTGCTTCTACAATTTATATGGAGAAGACAGGGAAGCAAAAAGAGGTGTCATAGTGCGATGCAGGCTAAGCTTTTTGTTAAGGACCTCTTTTTAAACATGAATCTCAATTGCTTCTAGTTTTCTTATCATTTCCCATCTAGACACCTGTAACATTGACTGTGTTCGGAAAAGGATGGAACAGAAGCTGCAAACTGCAATCAAAACATTGAGGAAATCTATTAATAAACAGCAATTTTACATTCAGTTTTCTGGGACAGAATATGAAGTGGCTCAGAAGCCAGCTAAAGCTACTGAAGGGCATGAAGCTTGCAGTACAGGGCAAGTGCTGCAGGATGGAAAATGCGGTAAGTCCCAACAACACTATTCAGCCACATCCCCCAAAACAAGCAATGCAAAATTAACTTGTCCCTTGTGAGCCAGGCAGGGAATCTATGAGACAACAGACAACATAGATCACTATTACTCCACATATGTGCATGGACCACTGACGGTTCATAAGACTTTGAAGGAGTTCATTAAATGATTGCAGGAAAACAAAACAAGCATATATATGCATACATTCCCATGCTGTCAGCTGGTATGTATCAAGGCCTGCCACAAGGCAATGTTGGCAATTAGTTCCCAGTTGCTCCAGCATCTTATGAAAACATAATTGCAATTCTGTAAAACAATAAAACGGTGTTTGCCTAGATGCTGTGTAGTTTTATATTGCCTCTCTCACTCTCCTCACCACCAAATAATCCATGATCCGCAGATACATTTATATTTAACACTCAAGAGGTCCAATTAAAAAAAAAATCTGTAGAAATCTATTTTAACTTTATGTAAAATACCTAATTTCTTTAAGCCTTTTCCGAGGTTATCAGGCTGTAGTGCTTTACTGGGGGCAAGGTGCTAGCACAAACCTATTAATGGCAGTTCTCAGCACTGCAAGCTTTATAATCACTTAGAGTCATCTTTTCAAAATCAGCATATCTATTTTTCCAGCTTCTTTTAGACACCAAGTGATTTACAAGCAAAAAGAAATAGTTAAGTGCAGATCTGATAGCTGCCTCTAATTAGCTGGTTCAGAGGCTGTTTTCATCATATAGGAACAGTGATTTAGAAACTGTATTGAAAGATACTTGCTATTAGTGTCTAGAAACCCATACATTTTAACTACCTATATCCAGCAGAGAAAAACATTTAATGCAGTTATGTGTTTTGTGGCAGCAAGAAAAGCGTGTGGATTCATATCTATAAAACACTTTCCAGTTCAGGTATTTGAGTGTCAAGAGACATAAAATACTACATGGGAGACATTGCCCTTAGAGAAATCTCTAGAACCGATCTCAGGCGACAGACTTTTTGTAGTCGTCTTCCAGAAAACCAACGCATAAACGCACCTAGTGTAAACTAAAAATTCACATCACTTCCCATAGTTATGCACCACTGTCTTAATTAAACTGCAATATACTGTTTTAAGACTGCATCAGCTTTATTAACAGCATATGTCTGATAAACGCTTTAATGCAGTACAATGCCATTTAATGGCTTAAACAATAGAAAAAGGACCTCGCCCTGATGTAAATTGAGCTAGACCGCAGTGGAGATGGGCCTGTTTACATCAGGTGAGGATCCTGGACTAACATATGCAAAACATATGCCACTATAATACTGGGGCCAAAGAGATCCATCTTCTCTAAATGTTTGATATAAAGGCAAATGATGTGATCAAAATGAAAGTCCTTATGTAGATTCCCCTTTTCTTTTCTCAGTTACCTGCAGCACAGGCACCTTTTATAGCGGAGAACATAATCAGTGCGTTCCTTGCTCACCAGGAACATACCAAGACACAGAAGGTCAACTTACCTGTGAACCTTGCCCAAGTAACGATGGACAGGGAGTAGCAGGCGCCCGGAACGTGTCAGAATGTGGAGGCAAGTTTAATTTGATTATAAAAGGATTAGGTATTGCCACACGGCCTGTGAGGCATGGAGGCTAAAAGCAGGGAGAGCCTTCCACACTTCTGTCTTGTAAAAGTAACAGAAGAAATCTCTGTGCACTTACAAGCAATACACAAAATGTTTTGGCTTGTTCCATCCGCTGACATTGCCGACAAGAAGATGGGACCTGCTGCAGCAATGTGAGTTATGGTATGGAAATGAGCAAGCCGAGCAAAGCACTTTGCTTCAAGTCAGGTATGGAATCTGGACATACCTGGACTTGTAAGGACTCGTCAGGTATATTGTGAGCCAAATGGATGGATTACTTTGGACTGGTATTGGTGAGTCTAATGAACCTGCTGATTTAATGTTTTGCATGAGATGCAGTTTACCTGGTCTAATCGGCAGCAATCATAGTTTTGAGATAGTTATGCTGCAGGAATCTGTAACCTGGACTCAGAGCTAATGATTGCAAGTTTCAACGCTGCTTGAATTCAGTGTAGCTTTTGGCAAGTGATGTAGCATCTCTGACTCAACTTCATGATATATAAATTAGATGATAATGATGATAATACCTGGTTTCAGAAGACAGCTGTGATGTTCAGTTTGCTAATGCTTTTACTGTAACTTGATCAAGATAAGGTTTTAAGACATAACTGTTAATTACTTTCTTTACCTTATTTCAGTACAGATGAGCAAAATCTAGTTTATAGCAGATGCATTATTTGACTTTGAAAGAAACCTGTCCCATCTGCTACCCGCGTTCTAACTTTAAAACTCATCCATGTAATTTACATTAATGCTTTCTTCAAGGATATCTAGAGTGAACACACAATGAATGACCCTTGAGAAACTGCCGCTTTTTCCCCATCCACTGAATAAAAAAATAACTCTAGTGTCTCCAGTAAAAACATATGGTAGATTTTGCTGATCTAATGTATGAAGGAACTATCACAGAAAAATTCTTGAAATGCTTGTGCATCTTTGTTATGTTGACTTCTATTTAGCCAAAATCCAACAAGAATAGATAAGCAAAATAAAATCTGAGTTTATAAAGGTTGAATATAGTAGACTGACCAAAGCAGCACAACAACTAGAGGAAAAAGACACTTTAGTTTCAAGGCTTGCATTTGAATTATTGTTCTGCACAACAACAGAAAGAAACACTTCTGATTATTTTCACAGAGTGGATCTGTCTCAAAATGTTTATTGTCAGATCACAACAGTCTGTTTTTCTGCTCAATTCTCCACTTTTCTCTTTCTCTGAAAGTGGCAAGAGAGAATATGCTTTGGACTTCATAAACGTCCCTATCAAAGATTTTATCAAAATCAGTATGTCTCCATAAAATGTGTCCGCATGTGTGATGAAACAGTGTATTTTGATGAACACAGATTTTGTTAGAAATGTACTCACCACCTGTAATCAATAGTATTTTTGCATCATATCTTCTGGAGCAGTAATGCCTGTAGTAACAAATAAGCTGTGACTGAAATCCTCACCCCTACAGGTGAGGCACATACAAGAAGCATGTAGGAGATTTTAAGTGCCTGTTGCATAGAACTCTATGTTGTAGCTGCAAGCGAATAAGATGCTGTGATACTTAAGTTACATGCTATCCATGTAGGTACAAGGCCAAAACACAATTGGGAAACCTAGTCATTTGGGGCATTTCTCAGGGAAATCACGTCGTATTGATTTTGTTGGCAATTTCAGTACAGAAGGCAAGAAGAGAGCAAGTTAGCTCATTCTTATATACAGGTAAGGACTGAGACATATTAATGCTGAAGGCATCGGGTATTTAGCAGTATTAAAACCCAACTATACCGATTCTTTAAAAGGATGTCTGTAAGCCACACTTCACAAGTACTTAATTTTCACAGTAAAATCCAGATCCAAATTCACTCTTCATTAACTGCCTTCATGTTGAAGTCCCATGACTAGTTGGACCAGACCAGACGGATCAGTTTTGCTACAAAAACAATAGTAGAATTGTCTTCAAATTAGTAGTATCATAATATTTCTCAGAGGTCTGTGTCACAACAGCCAGCTTGTACGGTCATGTTCCAGCCAGCTGGGATGGAAGCGCAACTAAATCCCAGAGATCCTGGTCCTATAGGTGTCCATAGGAGTTTGATTTTTGTGGGGAGAGAACTTGAACTTTACTTTCGCTCAGGAGCTCTCATTCATCCTAAGTGCCAAGTAACCAAGATGCTGGATGCCCCCAACATTCCCCAGCAAGTATCAGGGTTCTTAAGAGACCCCAATGCCCCCTAGAGCTGTCAAAACTTTCAGGTTTTCAAGCCAGTTGTTTCTGCCTGCTGTTCAGTTCTCCGGGAAGCTAAATTACAAAGTATTGGGATTAGGCAACCTCAGGGAACACCTAACATCTCAAAGTGCTGGTCTCCCAGGCTGGGGTGGTGTGAAGATATGCATTAATGCCATAATCTTGAAAAACTTGACATCCTGATTCTCAGGTAGGTTGTAAAGGAGTAAAGTACTCAAGCTAGCAAGAACCAAGACAAACAAATGCCTATCAGAAATCAGAAGAGCAAGTTTTGAAACTACCTTGATTCTGTCAGTAGACTCATTCACAAAGTGCTTTGCTTTACACAAATCACCATTTTCTGGCAGAAGAGCTTCTGACAAGCACTAGTTTTCACAGCTGCCTGGAAAGCTGCTGGTGTCAGCTATTTTCACAGACAGGGTGCTGGACTGGTCCCATCCAGTCTGGTAAATCCCATGATCTGCTGTTCTATATCTATAAAATGGATATATATAAAAAAAACAATTACTTGCTTCATAGATATGGTGCAAAGTTTCATTTTTTCCTACAAAGTGCTTTGAAATTCTCAGATGAAAGACTTGGTGAAAGTACAAAGTATTCTAACAACATCTTAATAGAGCTCTTGCTAAAAGAAAAAACAAACAGAAACATAGGTAGCAAAGAGCTTATTAAGAAACTAGTTGTAGTTACTGGTGGTGTTTTTAGGAAGCAGTTACAGGAACAATACAAAATCAGCAGGTAAGATTAGAATTTGATCTGCAGCTGTCTCGATGTCATGTGTTTAAGTTAAAGGAAGCATTGCTAACTACTAGTGGGTTTTATACTTTGTCCAGAAAAGTCGGCTCACTAATACAGATGATAATTTTCAACTTCTAGGGCAGTGTTCTCCTGGGCACTATTCTTCAGATGGTTTTAAACCTTGTAGAGTCTGTCCTCTTGGCACATATCAGCCTGAACCAGGAAGGACCCTCTGCTTCCCATGTGGTGGTGGGCTCGTGACCAAGTATGAAGGTGCTGTTTCCTTTCAAGACTGCGAAACCAAAGGTGAATTTAAAATCTTTCCACGATTCATGTTCCTGCTGTTTGCCCTTTTGTTTGTAATCTTCAATGCCAGGGGGCTTTGAAAGGCTCTAAAACAAACATAGTCACTGCATGTAGAAACACAGTGTGTGATTAAATTAAATGGTCAGGAAATCTGTAAACTGGGACTGATCTAGAGAGGTTGCGGAGACTGAACGGGCTTTATGGTTTTTCTTTGGAATTTACCACAGGCAGGTACAGAGTCAGTGCTGCAACTGGTAAGTGAATCAGCCCCACTGCATGGCAAGAAGTAAGACAAACTTGCATTAGACAATGCTTTAGCTTTCACGTCCTGTATATTTTTATTTACCAAATTAGAAAAACTAAACACTACAGAAATTATATGAAGTTAAGGATTGATTATTAATGGACTAGGCAGAAACTGTTGCGTGTTCCATAACGTCAACTTCTGGTGCAAATGCTGAAGAAGGAGTCTGCCAAATGATTTAGTTACTGGAATGACATGCTGGCCCTGGCAGACACTAATGGAAACCTCTCTCCTGCTATTGTGAAAGGCATTTTTATTGTTGAGGCAGATATGTATCAGCTTCCATTTATTACAAACTCATTGGAAGCCGCTGTTTTAAATACAGTGAGAGACATAGGTAGCACGTGTTACTAGTTCGTAAAGGTTTAGCTCTAGTCTTTGAAACATAATTCTAGTTAGAAGGTCCTTTGTAATGGGAAGTACAGGGAAGTGGTGGGTTTTTTGCCTTTTATGGCCTAATAAGTATATTGCAGAACAGGGATCATGAGGTATGTCCAGGGTAGAGGAAAGTTCTCTCTGCACTGAAGATTGCTACTTTCTGAAAATAATACATCTCCTACCTTACAGTTCATTGTTCTCCTGGACACTACTACAACTCCACAACACACAGATGTATCCGATGCCCTGTGGGAACATACCAGCCTGAGTTTGGTCAAAACTACTGCATCACCTGCCCTGGGAACACTAGTACAGATTTTGATGGCTCCACTAATGTTACGCACTGCAAAAGTAAGTTGCATTTGTATTAGTTGTGAGATGAAGCGTATCTTCGGATCTGAACTGCAACTTGAAGGTTCCACCTGTCAGGCTAGACTTCAATTCTGCATTTCCTAGTTAGCATATAACTACTCCCAGAGGGAATAGTAAAAATTGGGAAAACAATGAGAAAAAAACCTGGAAAAGTACCACTTGGTGCATATGATTGTTTTAGCTTTAATGTAATTTGGCAGAGTGCCAGCTACAAGTTAAAACTACAGAGCTTTTGGTTTCCCAGATCCTGTAAATTGTCTTGCAGTGAAGGATATTCCTCCGTGTCTCTGTAGAGCACAGTATCTTTTATCAGAGTAATCGCCATTTTATAATAATTATAAAATAGTAGGAGATATGGTCACGCATACTGCAATTGCCAGGTAATCACTCATGACAGTGAAATCTTCTCATAGGCTTTTCTGCAGTATTCAGCCTCCTATCTTCAATTACCGTTTTAAATATCCCCAAGGATTCCAGTGCAATTTTATTTGCTCTTTTGTGAACAACTGATTCTTTTAGAAAAACAATCTTTTTCATCTCTACCATGCTAATTTAAGAGAACGTCTCTATAATAATAAGTTAATGTCATCTACACTAACTATTCATGTGCAAGTGTATCGTAATTTTTTATTCTGATTATGTGCCATGTGTCTTTGAAGCCCTTCATCATTTCTGATGCAATTTGAGTAAATCAGATATTTGTAAGGAATTTGAAGAAGTTTAATGATTTTCCTATAAAATAAAACCATCCTTGTCACTTCACTGTCTTAGATACTCCCTGTTTTCAAGCCAATTTCTGATCTTGCATAATCTTTGAGGCTTGGATTAAACAAAATATTTAAACATATACCTAGTTTTATGTGGGTAAGTAGGCCTGTAGAGATCAAGCTTAAGTAACTTACTGAATCAGGCTTCTGTGGCAGATTCAATAGGAGTTTTGAAAACTCAGAAAGTAAAACTGATCCGTCAATGGAGATTCTTTATTAGCTCGTTTAATCTAAGATAAAGCAAGGCAGATCTGTAATCAAGATAAGGTTGGCTATTAGGATCATCACACGCATTCAGCTAAATCAGGTTAAAAAACAAGTCAAGTTAAACCAGAGTACCTTCTGCATGTCAGCATGGTCTCAGTGGTAACCACTGTGTGAGTACCTCCACAATGGGATCATGTTTACTTAGCTGTGTTCGTTTCTTAATCAAATGTTAAAGCAGCCTGAATGACGCATTGAATCCGTTTATAGACCAGAGATTAAGGTTTTGCAAATCAGTTGGAGCAGCCCTGCAGATCAAGTATTCCTTTAAAGGCTTTCCATGCTAAACAAAGAGGCAGCTGGAGAATGTATGCATTTCTAAAGCCACAAGGAGGAGTTTAGACTTGCTCTTGACAGAACTAGAAAAACACCTCAAATTAGCTAATCAGCTAACACAAATGCTAATTTATATTTCTCCACAGACCAGCACTGTGGAGGAGAACTTGGGGATTATACTGGCTACATTGAATCGCCCAACTATCCTGGAGACTACCCAGCTAATGTTGAATGCATTTGGAATATAAATCCACCCCCAAAGAGGAGAATACTCATTGTCGTACCTGAGATATTTCTCCCAATTGAAGATGAATGCGGTGATGTTTTAGTAATGAGAAAAAGTGGTAAGTTGCCAGGCATGAGTTATATAAATATTTATTGCAAACTGACTGAGTGGAAAGTTCATATTGAAGGGACGACTGTCTTCATCTATCTGGAATTTCTAAAAGGATTGTTGAATGAGCTGGCACAGCAAGTTAAAACAGAACACTGTATCAATAACAATTAACAGAGTGATATTAATTATTCAGGTGTCTTGGCTGAATCACAAAGCAGTTAATGGGCTTTGTGTCGCCCAATTATCACATGGGATAAATCGCTGCCACTCTAGAAGTCAAGAAAGCTTTGCTAAGTTATATTAGGAGAGCTACCTCCTGTCATCTGTACAAATTGTGCTCTCGCTTACCCTTTGCAAGTATATATACGTTGCAATTATTGCTAAATCTGGGCAGTGACAGGGTTTGGTACACCTGACACCCTGAAGAAATCCAACGTTCTCCCAATTTTATGTGGAGTGGGGGGTGCGTTGTGTCTTTGATTATGAAGTTAATTCAACAACTTCTGAAGTTAAGACACCAATGAGATGCACTCCTTCAGTCCTATGTAGGCATCCAGCTTCTGGTAATCTGTTGCTAAATCTCCAAGAAGCACCAAACCTGAAAGGCAATTGTTTATATGGAGCTTTGTTTAAAATGGCATATTTTACATGCTAAAACAGTGTGTTTTATTTGCTAAAACAATTTCCACAACTTCTTATCCTTGAGGACTTATGTTGACATCTCTATATATCAGAAGAAACCTGCTCACTATAGATGGAAGGAAATTATATGTGTACAGATCAGTTTTTTAAAAGCAAAGCACTTACTGTAGCAAAACAAATGAGTTGTCCTTCTAATCCCAAACTGTGGTTCCAACAGTGAGTAAAGCCAGGCACATCAGGGAAAAGTTTGGCTTTCACTTCATGTCGTGGTTTAACCCATCAGGCAGCCGAGTTACCACACAGCCACTCGCTCACTCCCCCC